CATCTTATTTCCCTGTATTTACTTCTATTTTTAATCCAGCTTGAATTTCTAACAAGCCACTAAAAACCTAAATACTATGCTTAAAAGTCCCTGTCCCACATACAGCAGTACTAATATTTGCTGTGTATCTGAAAAAGGTTTTTGTTTATTTTTTTTTTTTGGAGAGGTTTTTTTTTTTTGCTATAGGGCGCATGCGCTCGCCAGACAGACAGACAGAGACATAGACAGAAAGCGAGAAATCACCCCCCAGAGGGGATGGTCACGCCGCAATCCCTTCTCCTCCGTTCTCCTCTCGGGATCTTGGGCACGCACGCACACGCGCCCGACGTGAGTTTTAAGCCACCGGGTCTGGGACGCGAACTGCGGTCGACTCCTTGGGAGTCCAGCAACATAGCCATTACGCTAACTGCTGGTTCCCTGTTTATTTGTTTTTACTATAGGATGCATACGCTCCTTAGGGATAGAGAGAGGAAGCATCCCCTAGAGAGGATGGACACTCTGCAATCCCTTCTTCTTGGGATTTTGGGCATGCACACACACATGTCCAGAATGTTTTTCAACCCACTGGGTCCAGGACTTGAACCACATAGTCAACCACATGGGATCAAGATGCCTTAATCAGGACCAATAGTTAGCATAATGGCTATGTCGCTGGACTCCCATGTAGTCAACTGCAGTTCGAGTCCTGGACTTGGTGGCTTAAACTCATTCCGGGCGCATATGTGTATGTGCCCAAGATCCCAAGAGGAGAATAGAGGAGAAGGGATTGCGGTGTGACCATCCCCCTTGAGGGGTGATTTCTTGCTTTCTGTCTCTGTCTTTCTGGCAAGCGCACACGCCCTATAGGAAAAAACTTCTCCAAAAAAAAGATGCCTTAGTCACCAGGTCACTGGCTTGCCCAAAGAGCTATTTTCTACATAAATATGATTCAGAGTAAAATTAAACAGGGACCGGATTAAGTAATAGCTCCTTATCTTCTAACCACTATCCTCTTTGTAGTCTGATTTCACAGTAGGGATTGCAGTCAAGCCTAACCATACATGAATAAAAGCATGCAACCATGTTTTAAATCAACTTGTAAATGCTTTCTGCATTACCTACTCTCTGCTATGTCCATGAAAGGGAGAAGTCACTCCCCCGCCCTCCCTCCCAGGGGATGATCACACTATAATCCTTTTTTCTCCACTCTCCTCTCAGGATCTCGGGCATGCATGCACATGTGCCAGGCATGTTTTAAGCTGCCAGGTCCAACTCGAACTACGGTCAGTCAAGTGGGAGTCCAGTGATGTAACCGTAATGCCATCTGCTGGTCCCCAACTGTAAACATTTTAAAGTTAAGAATAAAAAAAAGGAAACTGAGTTTCCTGTGACATTAACAAAATCTACAATAATATCTGCTGATTCAAAAAGAAAAGAAAAATATTTTTATACTGTTTTCTCTGTTGTATCACTCATACGTTCATTGTCTATATTATTATCCTAGTTGTAAATGTCTGAAATCTACCGAGATCTGAATTTTAATGAATCACAATAGTAACTATCTCTACTATGTATTTAGCTAGTCAAGTGTTTAGTAGCAGTTTATTGAAAAACTACATAATGTGTTAGTTTTTGAAATCATGTGTAAACATTTGACCAACATGCTATCAATTCCCTTCTATTCCACAGATACAGAGGCTCTTCTTACACATCTTTTAATAAAGTACATATATATATGAAATTATAGGTTGCAACTGTAACATCACTCATAGAGCTTTTGGAAGAATATTGATCATGAGAACAAATTATAAATAACAATATTTTTAGTGTTCTTGTATAGTAAGTTTTCTTTTAAATGAAATGTCATCAAAAATTGGTCATGATTCTCCTGAAAAACCTGCTGCAGACAATGGCGTACTTAAATACGCCAGTCTGGTTCTGAGTATTACATTAAAAAAAATTTTTTAATATATATTCAATCACATTGTTTAGCTTACATTTTTCATCTTAATTGTAATTGGCAGAACACTATTAAGAGGAAAGACAAGCTGCATTTTCTGTGCTGCCTAAGGGAACTGAGGATGTTAAGTAAACTGAGAGTTTTAGCATGTGTGTCTGAGGTCCCTGACTTGGAGTTCTTGGGGACTCTGAACTTTGGGGCTGACATAACTAATCTTCCTTGGGAATGTGATAAGGCAGCTTCAAGGCAAATAAAGGAAACTAACATTTCCACTGTTTTATTTAAGATAAAATAAAAACTGCCTTAACTTGTACAGTCTTTTTATAAGTTTAACTTTCAATAACAAAGACATGAAGATAGTAAGAGTTCTGAGAATTTATACTAGCTTATTTAAAAATAAATAATGGGGAAAAGTAAATGTTTTTTATTAATAATTATTTATTTTATTTTATTCATTCATTTATTTTTAATTTGGCCAGTGGTACAGAGAGAGAAAAAGGGGGCTCAAACCATAGTCAGCCATTCAGGAATGTCCAGCGCCTTAACCACCAAGCCACCTTCTGACCCCATGAGAAAAGTAAATGTTTAAAGCACAAGGCTGGATGGCAACAGTTTCTTCAAATGCTTTTAAGAAAATGGAAAGAAACTAAATGCAGAACTAAAAAATTGATATGAGAGCTCTTAATTTAAATCAAGACACAAAATTTTCTGACATTGTTCTCTAGACTTATAAGATGATTTTCAGTTTGGGGGCAGAGATTGAATTTATAGAACTCTTGGAACTCTGGAATCACTGAAAAATAAATCATTTTCATCAAATTTAACCACCACTCCTGTGTTTTACAAACATTTTAAAGGTAATTCATTCTGCAAGTTTAGTCTCTAAGCAGTGAGATAGAATTGGATGTTACTGTTCATGACTACCTCAGACCTTAGGCACCACTGGAGTGTTCTTGAAAGATGATTATAACCGGCAATAGGGAAAAGATTAAAAAGGACGATTTGTGATCTCAAGTTAAACTGTTTCGATTATTAAACTTATTTTTCCTTGCAGGTAATGTAATCACTAACAACTGTCTTTAGGTCAACAGAAAAGAATATAATTACTAGGTTAAAAAAAGGAAGGTGACTCTCTCAAAGGTATTAAAGTAGGAAGTGTCTCGATTTGGATGGAACCTTTCCAAACCCTGCATCTTCTCAACTTATTCAGAAAACAAGGTCTTCTTGTAATTAAGCTTGATTTGCCCGTTGGTTGGAATATTTGGTACATATCACATAAAGGAATGCAGTCCTTCGACACGGCACATCAGAACTGCAGTTGAAAGGTAACTCAATATTAGTTAAGTAACATTTGAAGTCCTGGAAAAATAAAGTCAAGTATTGTATAATTCCGGGTTTCCTTATGCATCAGGAACACACTTTAAAAGTTTGTTCATTTGGGACTTGTAATATATATGTATATAGTTTGCAAAGAAGCGAACATTCTGATTTTATTCTTCAAAATATACGTCGAACTATTAATGGTTCTTAAGTCTGATTTTATGATGAAAGTGGTTTGGAAAAAGGTATCTTTAAAAAAGACACACAAGAAAAAGGTCACGAAAAGGATAGAGACTGAAGTTATGCATGGGCGGGGAGGAGTGGAGGGAGCAACCTGAAGAATTAAGGCAGCAGAACGCAGCTCTAGAACGGTACCTGTCCCCAAGTGGGTCTGCACGCCGCTGTCGCTTCGCACAGCGCTCCTGGAAATCTCATCTACAAATTCCGGAGCAGGCGGGCAGGGGTGGCAAGACTCCTAAGGAACGAAACATAACAGAAAGGATTCTGTTCTTGGGAGCAGCGTGGGGACGGTCCTGGTGGAAGGTGGCATCTCTCTCCAGCCTGTGAGCCTCTCCACCTGTCTCCTTCAGTCCCTACTGTGCAGCCCACCCACGGCGGCACACCGAGGTGGGACGAGCCGGCTGCCCGAGAACTAAGGTGCGGCGAGGCGCCGAGGACCCAGGCAGCCAGTCTCCTTTGCCTTGCTCGTCGCAGTGTCCTGCCCCAGGCGCTTTGCCTCCACAGCAGCCTGCGCGTGACAGTGCGTTTGGCTCTGATGGGCCGAACTGGGACCGAGGGGCGCGGGCCCGCGCCGGGGAGGTTGCGAGGACAGGCGGGCGACCCGACCGCTACCGCGCTGGCTGGGTGTGCGGCGGCGACGTGGGCGCGGCCCAGTCACGCCGGGGTCCCGCGCGCGCAGCCCGTGGCGGGGGACCCTGCAGCTGAG